ATGTTAGTTTGAGTGACCTGAGGGTAAAGAGAATCCTCATTTGTCCTTGCATCCCTGGTGCCCTCTGCAACCCTGAAATGACATAGGGCTTCTGGGTGCGCTCCTGGATGGATAAATACATGAGTCACTGAAATAAATACATCGATAAAGATAGGTAGAAAGAATCAGTACAGGTAATGCATTGTTAATGCCCCAGTTTCTGCACAAGAAGTAGAATTATCGTGGACTTTCTTTAAAAGCAGAGGCTGATTTAACTTCCCCCACCTGGAATCTCTGACACATTTAAATATAACTAGCGGTAGCCTTGCTTCTCAGAGACATCACTGCTGTCCTGGCCCTCCCAGCAGACTGCGGGGACAGCCAGTGTGTTTCCATGGCTTGTAGCTGGATGCATTACAGTTCCAGGGTTAAAGCACTTGTTTGTAGTGTAGCTGCTCTGTTACAAAGCACCTTCATCAAAGTTGTGAAGCAGATTGGCAGACCCTGCTCAGAGAGCTCATGGGAAGTGACTCTAGGAGAGAAAGAGATAGATGAAGAACTAGCCCAAGGGTTGTGTCAAGTTCAGACCCCAGGGTCTCTACTCACTGCAGGAGGACCCTGGTAAGCCACATGTCTTTTCTGGACCTCCATTCCCTCGGGTGTCACATGAAGCCTTTGAACTGTATCATCTCTCAGTCTCTACCAGCTGGAAAATCCTTTGTTTCTCCATTATTTGTGATGATTGGAAAATCCTGGGGCTGGAGATTTAGCTCAGCGGCACAGTGCCTGCCTGGCAAGAGCAAGGTTGTGAGTTCGATTCCCGGTACCAGAAAAAAAACAAAACAAAACAAAACAAGAATGATTGGAAAATCCCAAAGATTGTGTTACAACTAAGATAGGCCTACACACGAAGCACTGCGGACATCTGTAACCCACAACTAAACGAATGCAAGTTCCTGCTATCGAAATCCGCAGAAGATGCGGAACTGCCTAATCCAGACTCATGCCCCGTTCTTCACCATGAGACCTGATCCCATGTGGGTCTCCTTTCCTCTTTTTCACTGGGGAACCAGGTCAGGGTTTGGGGGATCCAAGGCCTGCTACAGGAGGGTGGGTGAGGGCCACAGGGCTGGTCCCAGGAGCGGCCTGGGTAAGGAAGCAGGATCAGTTCAGCGGGCCATGGAACAGGAAATGTGTTCTAGCAACTGGGGCTGTAGTATGACAGAAAGCCTCAAGCAGAAGTTAGACTCACTGATGCCCAGAAAAACTGTGTGTGTGGAGGGAGCGGGGGTGTACAATGAGCCTACTGATCTACAAGAGTAAGGAGGCTGCTCAGCTGGAAGAGATACATCCCCTACCCTGGGTCCCCTCAACAGTTTCTCTATATCACACGGAGTAGAACCAGCAGAGATGCTCCTCTGCTGAACTTCGATTGAAGGGCACTTTCCTCTCTGCTTCTCTGCATAAAAGAGGTATTGGTGGGGCTTACAGTCCCCAAATGCAGGGCAGCAAGGAAAGAGGAACAGAGGCCTGGGCCTGAGTACATCTGTGTGTTTCCTCTAAGGATGGGGTAGGGTGGAGGTCACAAGGAAAACTCTGTCTAGGATTTATGAGCTCGGGATTGGGATAAACTATTGGGCTGGAACAACCTCCACTTGCCTTCCATATTTGGGTGAGGAACAGTTACTGTCATATCCCTTCAGCTGGGGTTTCCCAGCCAAGAGATGGAAGGCAGAAGGTGCCATTCCTGCTCAGGGTTGAGCAGGACCAGGCTCGTGGTCAGTACTGTCCTCTCCATGTGCAAGCTGTGAGCACGCAGACAGGCAGGCCCCAGTCCCAGTTAGGGACCCGGAACAAGAGGAAGTGTGTGATAGTCTCCTAAGCCAGGCTCTCGCCCCATGAGTCCAATCAGACAGCCACATGGCAGTGGTGAAGGCAGGACTTTCTTTGGGGTTGTTGATCCTCATTTTGTTTGTGAGGGATTCTCCAGGGCTCACTGAGAAGGGATGCAAAGGAGGTTTTAAATGGGCTCCTTGGTCCAGGAGAGCAGTTATCAAGTAAGGGAAGTGGCTGCGTCTCCAAAGCCTGGGTCCCCTTGTTTATCACAGACACTCTTGACCTCTGCCCTCCAGCTGGGCCGTTCCTTCACGCTGTGAGCCTAGGAGTGCCTGATTTTCCTATAGTCATGAACCCTGTCGTGGGCAAAAAAGGCACCTTCCAGACCCTAAGTAACCTCACCCACCCTGCAGGGACCAGGGTGGGGCATCTCTGGAAGAAGGACTAACAATAAATGTCCTGGGAGGGCCGCAAAGCAGGCCAAGACTGCCTGCCGGGCACTGTCTGATTAAGTGAGGGATGGCTCATTAGGCGCAGGGTGAGAGTATTTCCTGTTGTGATTGGTTGCTTAGGGGGAAACTTTGCAGAAGCTGCAGAGAAAAGGCTGAAGTGAAACCCTCTGTCCAAAGAAACCCACGCCCGCAGAAACCCAAGCCTCTGAGCAAGTCATGACGTCCCTCTCAAGCTAGAGAGGGGGTTTCTGGTGTCTGCTCGGTGATTGCCCAAGTGCACTGCCTGAGGTGGCATCACTGCTCAGGCCTGAGAAAGGTGTTGCCTGCTTGTCTCCCTACCAGGGACCAAGCGAGGAGGAACAGCGGGGAGTGGGACAGATCAAACCTCAGTCTGCTGTTTCCCAGGGATGTGGTGACAGAGCTGAGATTTTATTGGGGGGAAAGAGAATGCAAAAAGCACAGATTAGCGGCATATTCTCTAAGACAAAGAATGAATGTACTGTCTGGTTTGGGTGAGTGCGAAGGAGGTGACACAGCCTTCAGAATCGTCTTGACCCCTTCGGGACATGCAGCATAGCCCCATAGGTGGCTTGTAGCTCCTCATGGGGATTAGCCCTCAGTCTGGGGACCCTGGGACAAGTGACAAGCAGTAAGCTCTAGTGCTGTGGCCTGGGTAGGGTGACATGGCTAGCAGACTCTCAACTGCTTGCCTGGCAAGTGAAGGAAGGAATGGAGCGAGTGGGGCTGGCCAGAGCAGAGGGGCTAAGTCAGGGACTCTGAGCGTCAAGTCTGGCTGTATGCCTATGTCACATTTGGCTTCTTCTTGTTTCCCTGGCCCAAAATTCAAGTTTTCCAGGACCCATGGCATACTCCTGCCATCTCTCATTCTACAGTTCCCACACTGAATCTCCTGTACTCAGCCTCTGGCCATGACATGGTGCCAGCAGAGGTGAGGCAAGTCTGTGAGAATCCAGGGTGGACACCACCTGAGCCAACCCTGGGCCCAGCCTCCTCTGCTGCTACTGGCTCCAGGTTAGCTCCTCATTACTGCTTAGGCAGTTTCACTGTGTCAGACCTGGCCTCTGGATCCCAGCTTCCCTCCATGGTTTGCTCCCCAAGAGCTCCTTGGCCTGCCTTTTGGCAGCCGGAAGAAGCTGTATTTTCATTAACTCTGTCTAAGGTGAATGGGATGAAGGATGTAGGCAAATATGTTAAATATTGAGAGGAACCTTTCAGTGGGCTCACTCTGTAATCAGCTGGTGTGCTGGGAATGGCATGATTTCCTGGTGGCTTTCTTGTTACCCTGTGCAAAATGTTCTGGGTTTCCTTGTCCAGACAGTGTGTAGTAGGGAAGGAAGAGGGGAGGGAAGGAAAATGGGAGGGAAGGGACGAAGGGAGGAAAGGGGAGGGGAGGAGAGAGGAGAGAAGAGGAAGAGCAGCTTGAGAAGTGATATTTGATCAGGTTTGGTGGGATAAGTTTGTTGTTTTCTCTGGCAGCTCACAAAGATGTTTTCCTACATAGTGTCACCCACTTGTCACTGTGCTACAGTACAGTTACCCTAGCACCACCCTACATCTCCCAGATACAAAAAAGGATCATTTTGACCCTGGTCTTGGACTTGCTGAACAGTTGGAACTAGAAGGAACCTTACTGATCTCCTAATCCTGTCACCCTTGAAGGCTAATCTATAGATCAATTACTGTTGAATCATTTGGGACATTTGGAAAAGGTACAGATCCCTGACTCCTGCCATGAGGGGACACAGAGGAAATGTAAATGCATATTGCTAACTGGATTAGTCACTTTTCCGTTCCTGGGACAAAATACCCTTAAAGGAAGAGAGGTTTATTTTGGCTCACGGTTTAGTCCGCAGTCAACTGGCTCCAAGGCAGAAACAGCATGGTGGTAGGGTGTGGCAGAGGACCGCTGTTCAACCCATGGCAGCCAGGAAGCAGAGAGGAGGAAGGGAGGAGCTGAGGGCAGGAATAGACCCTTCTAGACCACACTCTACCAGGGCCACCTCCAACCAGGCCCCACCTCCTTACAGCACATTCATCCATGAGCCCGTTAGTGGATGAACCCACTTGTGAGTATAATGCCCCATAATCCAGTCACCTTCCACACACATGAGACTCCAGAAGGACATTTTAAATCTAGACCGTAATACTAACTGAAGGAAAACAATGTGAAAAGGCTACCCACTGTGCGATTCCAAGTGCATGACGTTCTGGAAGGGGAACAACTATGAAGACAGTGAACAATCAATGGCTGCAGAGATTGGAGGTGCCAGAGATGTACAGGTGGAGCCCACAGGGTGTTTAGGGCAGTGAACTTATTCCGTACAGCACTGTCACGGTGGATGCTGCCATTAGGCTTTGTCCAAACCTACAGCATACATCCAGCCCAAGGAGAAGTATGAGCTCTGGTGACCATCATGCATCAGTGGGGTTCGTCAGCTGTAACACACGCACACTCTGGTGGGAGACTGATAGTGGGGGGACTGTGGGGAAGCTCTGTACCTTCCACTCACCTTTGCTACAAACCTAAAACAAAACAAAAAAGGGGGTCTGGAGGGGAAGAAAGCTGACAAAGGGCAGGAGTGACACATCCTCACCTGTGGCCTCAGCCTCATGTCCCTCCTACCTCGTGTAGAACAGCCTCAGAGAGGCTGCCCGGGTGGGGCCCTGGTGTGTCCAGAGCCAGGTGGTGACTGGCAGTGGCTGTCCCTTCAGGTGGCGTGGAAGTCCCGATGATCCGCCTGGTGAACGGCTCAGGCCCACATGAGGGCCGTGTGGAGGTGTACCATGACCGGCGCTGGGGCACCGTGTGTGACGACGGCTGGGACAAGAAGGACGGGGACGTGGTGTGCCGCATGCTGGGCTTCCGCAGCGCGGGGGAAGTGTACCGGACAGCTCGCTTCGGGCAAGGTGAGGCCCACGAGGCAGCAGACCTGAGGAGGGGGTGGCAGATCCTGGGACCGCCTTCTTCTTCAAAGCCTCCATCCCCTGGACTGAGTCACCAAGGGTGCCAGGCTCTGCCTGGGTGTTTCCAGCAATGGGAGATCACTGTCCCCCAGGCAAGCAGTTCCTTTCCTTGCGTCTAAATCTTGTCTCCTGTCAGTTTCCCTACCAGCCCTCATTCTCCATCCTGGTTCACAGGCACAAAATGAGTCCCTCAGGCACATCACCCGTCCCTCTTCCAGGCTTGGTCTTATCTCCCCATGCTTTTATTACTTCCCATGCAGACAGTGCTCACTGTGTTCCAGGCTATATTCTAAACACATTACAAAATCTCATTTAATTCCTACAGCACTGTTGAGCAGACACAGATCATCTTCTTTTCCACATGAGGAAACGCAGAAGTTGAGTAACTTGCCCAAGGCCACTCAGCTAGCAAATGGCAGGGCCCGTGTTCAGCCCAGACAGGCATCTCGGGAATTCAGACCCTTACCCACTCTGCTGGGCATCCCCAGATAGCCCACCTTGTCCTTGCAGGGTGAGGTTTCAAAGCCCTCGCCGTGCGGCTGCTTTCCTTCTGACTTGCTCAAGTACGTGTGCTGTCTCCCCACAGACAGTCCTGCAGTCTGGGAGGGAGGACCCGGATGCTCCCCAGCCAGCCAGACGGTGACATTAACCATGCAAACATTTCCTGTGGCGAGGAAGATGGCTCCAGTCTCCACTCCCCCATTGTATCTGTCTCTCTGGCTGACTCTATGTCCTTCTGCTACCGCTGCTGCAGTAATACCATAGACCAGGCAGTTTAAAATCAGCAGGAATTGATTTCCTCACAGCCCTGGAAAGGCCAAAGGGAAGTCCAAAGTCAAGGTCCTGGCAAGGTTGGCTTCTCCTGAGGCCTCTCTTCTTGGCCTGTGGATGCCATTTCTGCCTGTGTCCCCACATGGTCTTCTGTGTGTGTCCATGTCCTGACCTCCACTGCTTATAAGGACGTCAGCCGTAATGAGTTAGAGCTCATCCGAATGACCTCATTTATCTTAAGTACCTTTTCAAAGACCTCATCTCCAAATACTGTCACATTCTGAGTCCTTTTGGGAGTTAGGACTTCAACATAAGTGTTTTGGAGGGATGCAGTTCAGCCCGTTACAGTCTTTATTCCATGGCGTGCTTACTGTGATAATCTGTTTAGGCTGCTATAACAAAATAGCAGAGGCTGGGTAGCACATAAGTACAAGAAATTTATTTCTCACCCTTCTGCAGCCTGTGAAATCCAAGATCAAGGCAGCAGGAGGTTCAGTGTATGGTGAGGGTCCCTTTCTTGGCTCATAGATGTGTCCCCAGTGATAGCAATCCCATCATGAAGGGTCCATCCTTATGACCTAATCACCTGCCGAAGGCCTCATCTCCTAACACCATCACCTTGAGGGTTAGATTCTCGTTCGGTTTCCTCTTGCAGCCTCCACCCACACTAATATGAACATCTGCACACAGATGTCTAAGACTACTCTACTACCTTCCCAAACTTCCAGTAAACCAGTTCCAAAGGCTTCTAAACCTTCTGGTTAAATAGTCACAGTAATGACCCCACTTCTGTGGTACCAATTTTCTGCATTAGTCACCTTTCTCATTGCTGGGACACAATATCCAATACCTACAACCTTAAAGAAGGTGAGACTTAATTTGGCTTACAGTTTTGGTGGGTTCAGTTCATGGCCCTTTGGCTCTAAGGCAGGAACATCACGGTGGAAGGGTATGGTGGAGCAAAGCTGCTTAGTTCATGGTGGCTGGGAAGCAGAGAAGGGGAAAATTGCAAGAGAGGAATGGATGAGGGACTGTCATGACTACTCAGCTCTGTGGTTATAACAGGAGAACAACCATAGACAATGTGTAACCAAATAGGTGGGGCCATATTCCAATTTATTTACACAAACAGACATTGGGACACATTTGTCCCATAGTTTGCCGCCCCTGACTTAAATTACATGCTGTGAACTGTGGCCTGTGGTTCTCTGATAAGGAGCAAGGCCTAGACTGAGTGAACTCTGCCCCATAACAGTTAACAGGACCATGCCCAAGTCACTTCATCTGCTGGCACCTCCACCTTTCTCTCTTTCTCCACCATCCGTTAAGTAGCTGTCCTGTGTACCTCTGTGGAGCTCAGGCGAACACCTGTACGATTCTGTATGACTTATTTCTGTGAGTCACGTTACTGTAGGTAAACATACCAAAGCTCACACGCTAGCTCCATGAGGCAGATGTTCTGCTTTTGTTGTTCTGTCTTTTTTGGTTTGTTGATGTATTCCAAACACCTAGAAATAGTGCTGAGCACAGAATAGGCCCTCAGATGCTCAGATATTTGTCACCTTCACATCTGGTGCTGTGAGGGTCAGAACACCTGGGCCCTAGCTCCGGTCTCGCCTTCCCAGTTGCTGCATTTTCTCCAGAGAGTAGAAGCCCCTCCACCCTGTGTTGACCCAACAGGACTGTACTGTGCAGCTCAAGCTCAGAGATAACAGGGTGGAGGTGCAAACCCAGCTTACGCCGCACCACACGTATGAACCCCTGGCACATTCCTAACAATTCCCAGGTGTGTGATGGTGACTCTCAGGCCCTGGGACTGCACCTTGAGGAATCCTTGTCATTCTAAACCTGAGGTGAGGATTGGCACCCAGATATCTGCAGAGTGCTGGCTTTGGCAGTGGGGCGAGGAAGAGATGGTTGCTCCTTCCCTCACCCTCCAGGGAGGCCCCACACGGTTGTCAGAACTGAGATACTCAGGGCTGCTCATTTAACGACCCTGTTCCCGTTTTATTGTGCTTTCCACACGTGGACATGAGCCAGAATTCCCTGGCTAAGCTCCAGCGAGAGCTTGGAGCTTTGAGATTCTAAATGCACATTTAGTCCCGGTAACCCTGGGCCTGTTCTTTATTTGTTAGTCTCCTTTATTTGCTTCTTTATTTGCTTTGGGTGTGACTAATCCCACAGAGCTCTGGGGCCCTCAGCCTTTTGCTGGGTAATTTGTAGACTGATACGTTTTCCCGGAGATGTTTAATCTGCGCATTACTGCTGGACTGCAGGAGCTTGTTGTGTAACAGCTCCAGCTCTCCAGGCCAGGAGAGGCTCTGCAAAGACAGGGTCCTCCCCGTCCTGTCCCCAGATCATTTCACGGCAATCCTCTGACAGCAGATGCTGAAGATCCCTACAGAACAAAAATAGTCAGCAGCACCGGGGTTTACATGGCCCCTTGACATTCTTTACAGAAGGATTTTACCTGGTAGCCCAAGAGTGAGTAATAGAGTCGAAGGTTTTAATAGTCAGTTCTACTAAGGAAGAGGTAGAAATTGTCAAGCTGCTGGGAAACAAGAGGAGGAGGACACAGTGTGAGGTCCAGGTACAATACTGGTTCCCAAGCTCCTTATGTGTAGGCTTTGGCAAATTCCAAAACGCTTTCCAATACAAGAGCTGTTATCTCAATGACTTGCTCAGGTGACATGGCCAGTAATGTTGGAACCCGCTTTATGACCCTTAACCCTGTGCTTTTTGGCCACAGATCTAACAAATGAGTTGCTGGGGTGACCAGTTATCCCGATTCACACAGGACCTAGTAAATTTTAACACTGAGAATCTCATACCTGGGATGCCCATCCCAGTCTGACAATGGAAATGGTTACCCCAGATGGTGCTAAAGCTTTGGTTGGAGCATGCCCCACAGCAGCGCCCTTCTCCTGCCCCTATGCCAGTGCTTCTCAAGCTGCCAGGATCAGCACCTTTGTTAAAATGCGGATCTTGCCTCTGTCCGGGCTGGGCAGGACTCGGAGATCTGTTTCCAACAAGCTCCTGATGATGCAACCTCTGTGTCCAGGATCTCACTTTGAGCAGCAGAGCTGCAGTTTCCATGGGAGCCCTGAAGCCCAGTTGTCCTTCCAGAAGGCTCCTGAATGGGCTCTGCCATCTTGATTTAGCATAGCTATCAGCCCAGAGAGCCCACTGGTTCCTGCCAGTTAATCATGGGAGCAAGGGATCCCACTCCCTGCCGCCCCACCACGCCCAAGCCCAAACAAGACCTCCCAATCACTCATGGAGGCCCAGCTGCCCCAGCTATCCCATGTTTATGCTGTTCATGGCTCAGGTGGAATCCTGGGAGAACCATAAATGGGAGGCCTCCATGCATGGGCACCTTCAGAACAGCAGGTCAGTCCAATTAAGAGTGAAGTGAGCGGGACTGGGTGTAGGTAGAGTTACCAACAGATCATCTCAGAGACCTTGTATCTGTAGACTGACCTAACTACTTGTGGTTTACGGATGCCCTTGCATATCCTTTAATATTTGTCATGTCACAGTGTTAAATTCTGGGATCACTTGTCGTTCCAGAACCACTGTTTGGGTTCATAGAACGGGATCACAAGATTGGAAGTGATGTTGACACAGATGCACTTGCGTCTGGAACACTAGGAAATCCTGGGTCTGTCTTACCTTTTACCTTTGATTGGGCCCTGCCTCACTCTTTATCAGCGAAGGCTTTGAGACACCATGTCACAAGAGCTATGCAGTGTATCTTACAAGGTGTGAGCCTGGGAGCAGCGAGACTTGAGTCTGAGGCCAGACTCTGCCACTTATAAGCTGAGTCACCTTGTATCAGTTGTCACAGCTCTTGGAGCCATGGTTTTCCCATCTATAAAATGGGTTTATTAAGACCTACCTCAAAGCACCATGGTGAGGACTCAAGAAGCTCGTAGGTGTAAGATGCTTGGGACCTAGGAGAGATGAATAGCCTCACCACCATTTATTGTTATTCTGCCTGCAAGGAATACAGCCTAGAAACAAGCACAAGTTCTTGGTGGGGTGGAGGTGGCAGATGGAAGCCACCAGATCTGACAAATGCTTGCACAGCCAGGGCCAGCCTGGTTAAGGGCAGACACAGTCCCACCTCCTTCTCGCCTCCTGCCTGCTTCTTTGCTAAGAAGTCACGCTGTTCTGTCTCCACAGGCACGGGGAGGATTTGGATGGATGACGTTGCCTGCAAGGGTACAGAGGACACCATCTTCCGTTGCAGTTTCTCCAAATGGGGGGTGACAAACTGTGGGCATGCTGAGGATGCTGGGGTCACATGCAATAGATACTAAAATCGGGCATAACCCGAGGTCGGGGCCTTGCTTCCATGCCTCCTTCCTGCATTTTTGGAGGGGGGCATCACTTGGGGCTACCCTGGCCATGCCTCTGCTCTGCCCAATCCAACACCCCCAGTCCCCATAGCCCTATGCCAGGACTGTGGTGGCCTGTTGTCACTCTCCTTTCAGACATCTGCTCCAAAGTGCTCTACGGGATCTACTGCCTGTCTCTCCTTCTGCCGGGGCTTCCAAGTGAAGAGCCCTGGCCAGTGGGACCACCAGTTGGCTCAGCCTTCTGACCATCATTCCTAGGGCCTCAGAATCCATGTTCTCTTCAGTCTCTTGGTTACAGATGAATGTCCAGAAGATCTCAGAGACAGAGGCAGCTGTGGAGATGGGACGAATTATGGATCATTTATTCATGAGATAATTCCCAAACCTCAGTTAGGCCAAGAGTTTCAACACCCACCTCCCCAGCAAGTGGCAATCTTGGGTGTCCTGGTCTCCCCTCTTTATTCTGCCTCTACACACTGTACCTTAATTTGTGGAGGTGACACAGAAAAAAAAAGCAAAACCAGCTGGAGGAGCAAGAGGGAAATGCAAAATTCCTGCAGAAACCCAGCAAGGGAGAAGGGGAGGGAACCCGGCATTTATTGAATGACTACAGTGGTGTGCTAATAGTATCTTGGGTGCTAAATTCATTTATCCACTTTGCCACATTGGTACAAGGTACATCAGTCTGGGTAAGAACCTACCTCCAGGTAGTGCTCAATTGGCCCTTCCACCTGGCTTCCAAGTCAGAAGATCAAGAATGACTGAACCAAGGTCCCACCTGCACCTTAGCATGTCTTGGCCAGACCTTATCTTAGGCCAGGGACATAGGTGGTTAGAAAGCTGCATATGGCAAACCCTGTGCTGTGTGATGCAAGATCAGACACGACGGGCCCCCAGGTTAACCATCTGTGCAGGAGGAGAGCTGATCTGGAGGGTAACATAGGGGCCGTCCATGTCAACCTGAGTCCATCGCTTAGCCATTGGGCACTCGGGGTTAACAGCAAGGTGGCGGTGTCTCAGAGCTGTTGAAGGTGACATTGCATCTTCCAGGACCCTTCAAGTGTGATCCTGTGGTCAGGGGAAACACAGATTCTGAAGGATCTTACAGGCGTGACAGAAGTCAGGAGTCCCTGTAACCTCCAAGGAGAAGGAAGGGCCACGGGCCTCTGCAAGTTTGCAACTGCAGCCCCACTGAGTGTCAGGGAGATCGTACTCTGCTGTTTACGTGAAGAGCGGTTGAACTGTACGAGTCTTAGACCTGGGACAGCCCCATATAACGAGTGGATACAAACACACCTCGCTTTGGGAGAAACAAATTCACAGTCAGGCCTCAGATACAGGTGAGCGTCATTCTGCCCGGACAAAGTGGGACCTGCGCTCCTACAGTCACAGGTCCAGCAAAGGCCCTGGCTGACAACCAAGCCCATATGTGCTCTCGGTCATTCTTTGCTTACAATACGCTTGTGACTAATGTCCTAATGATCAGAGACTCCTTCTGACCCACCGCTATGTTTACATAATGCGCATGTACTCATGCATTTTCTTTCAGAGCCAATATATGTATGTATATATAAACATAGCACTCTTTACTACATAGCTCAGCACTTGCAAAATTTGTGTTAGATCATTACTAATGGTGGGAAAATGTCACTTTAAAAATCACCAACTTGGTTCTAGTAAAGAACCTAGTTACGCTACCCATGAAAAATCATACGATTTCCTTACTTGGTCTTTTCATTTAGGAAAACTCAAGTCTTGTTTATGTCAAATTAAAACAATGTTGAAATGTTAAATGTTTGAACCTTTAAAATAAAAGTCGACTAGTTTACATACCTATCTAAGAGGACATGGAAATGACCATGGACCTGTATTTCAGGGACTAGAGGAATTAGGCCTGGCCTAAGTACACCAGATCTTTTGTAAAAAAGAATTTCAATAAAGTGAAAAAAACGTGTCACTAACAAGTGTTCCATCATGGTTTTTCTCATGAAAGCTCAGGGTGGGCTGGCGATTTAGCTCAGCGGCACAGCGCCTGCCTGGCAAGCACAAGGTCATAAGTTCAATTCCTGGTACCAGAAGAAAACAAAAAACAAACAAACAAACAAACAAAAGAAAGCTCAGGGTGTGTGCACAGGGCTGATGGAACTGGGTGGTCTGGTCATATTTCAGTGGGGATTGGTGAGCTTTTATGAAAAGTCATCTTAATTCTTCCACAGGACAATCAACACACTTTAGACCAAGACCATGATAGTACATGTCTTAGTGTGTTATCTTGTTTTTTTGTTTGTTTCTTTCTTTGGTAGTAGTGGGATTTGAATCCAGGGTCTTCACATTGAACTATGTCCCCAGCTCTCCCCACTTAAAATCTATTTTTTAAATTTTGAGATAGGGTCTCCTATGTTGCTAGCTTGCCCAGGTTAGGTTTCAACTCAAAATCCTCCTGCCTCAGGTTCCAAGAGTGCTGGGATGACAGACCTTATTCTGCCTCCTGTTGCTATAACAGGAAATCTGAGACTAGGAAATGTTTAAAGAAAAGAGGTTTATTTTAGCTCCCAGTTGTGGAGGCTGAGAAGTGCAAGATGGCAGCTCTGTCTGTTAAGAGACTCCCGCTGGCAAAGGCAAAGGAGACAGAAAACAAGGGGTGGGCTTGCTTTATAACCAGCTGTCTCACAGTCTGTCAAAGAGTCCTGTGAGGTGCAGAACTCATGGGAGAAAGGTGTTAATCCATTCATAAGAACACCCGGCGTGACCCAAACACGTCCCTGCACATTGAAGACTTAAGCTTCCAACACATGAACTTCTGGGAGACCCACCCAACACAGCAGAATGTGATGGCTCAAACATCATTTGCTAACCAAAGGAAATGGGTCCCAAGAAACAAAATACCCAAGGTTGCTGCCATGAGAGAAATGCTTTTGAATTCAGAGAAGAAATGCACTCCTGCCCATTTCCTGCCATCTCCAGAGTTCTCACTTACGGGCACGCTTTCCTCTGGAGGCCCACTCCCACATGAGAAGGTGGTGTGGAGTGAGTTCTGAGTCTGTGAGTTTACTGGGCCCATCACTGAATCGGAAGCAGGAATTGCAAGTAGTGTGTTGGGAAGACCCAGGCATTGCCTAGCCGTGGCCACAGGCTTGTAGGTGGCACCTCTGGAAACACCTAACACCCTAGAAACAGCAAAGTAGATTTTCTGGAACTCTACAAAGGAAATACGTTTTTTTTTTCTCCTCAAAATGCTGGCACATGCACACACACACACACACACACACACACACACACACACACGCACACTTACGGTGATTCTGGTTCTATAAATGGTCTCCAGAGAGAAGGGCAGCAGCCCCTCCCTTCCACGCTCTCTGCTGCCTGGAAGGTATGCTGACTGCTGACTGTCTTTGTCTCCAGTGCCCGATGCCTCGCTTTGCAGCCTACATGTCATCATTAAACACAACTATTTCTGGTAGACGAGGCATGTATGTGAAGAGTGAGCCGAAGACCCAAGCGAACGTCTGTGTACCTTTCTGCACCTTGCTCTTTGTCGTTCCTGTCCCTCAGGTGCTGAGAAATTCTGCAGCTCAAGGTCACTTGATCTCCGTTATTGCTAGTCTTTGCCTCTCACCTTAGCAAAATTGTTGGACTCTGGGCCTCCCTCTGGGCTGTAGTCAGACAGAAAACCAAGGCTGAGGTAGAACTCCCCTTGCTGTTCCCCTTGTCCCAGGGATCTGTGCTCCATGTTACCCAACATGTGAAATGACGGGTTTCAAGTATTTTGTGCAATTTGTATCTTCCTGGTTATGCTGGAGGAAGGGTTATTCTGCTAGGTCTCCTCTCATGCCTGGAAGAAGTCCTCCCCATGGCTATTTTCTGGTCCAGGAGAATCATAAGGGAACAGCCTTTGTTGTGCAAACATGGCTCAAGGATTTGGCAGGGAAAAGGTCTGGAATGAGTCTCCAGGTGGGGAGAGGCTCCCCCTGCCTTCTCCCGCACCCCTTCTCACCAGACTCCCTTCAAAGGTCAGCCCCGAAGCTCTCACTTGGTTCTCCTTAGCCGAGTTGAGCTACAGATGAGCAATAAGGAAATAATTTCAGAAAAAATACAGATGGCCTTAAACAGGCGGTCCAAAATAGAGGTCTTAGACCATTCAATAATGCCTTCTGTTGTGGCCCCAAAGAGCTGGTAGAACTTTCCTGGCCTCTTGCCTGGCTCACTTGCTTCTTGGCTCCTACTTACATCCATACTATGGGTGCTTTCTTACTTCCCACAGGGCTTTTGGCTCCACCAGGAGGGGGCATGATGCTCTCTTTGGTTCACCCAGATGCACTCGCTGAGACATAGCTCTAGGTCCAGGGGATGTTCTGTAGTTGACAGACCCAGACTCATCTTCATGGACACAATGAATCTTCTTTCCCCTTGGAAACCCATGCCCTATCTCAGGGGGATGGTGTGGACCAAGTTCCACTGTGTGTCTCTTAACCAATACTTACTGAGTACCTAGCACAAGCAAGGCCCTCTTAGAGTTTACATTCTAGCTCTTACACTTCCACAGGCTTTCAATATAACATTAGAAACCCAAGAACATTATCCAACAATAAGAAGCACATTAGGGAAAGTGGTAGTGTTTGTGTGTCAAGCAAAGCAAAACACAAAAAAATTAAAACACCGTTTTAATTTCCAGTGAGTTAACAATAGCATAGGCAGCTCTGGTTATACAGAAAAAATTAAGAGATGGAGATGGTTAAAGAGTAAAAAGATAGCTCTGTTCATCCAAAATGGTAGAAGGACTGAGAATGTAGCTCAGTGGTGTAGCATTTGTTTAACATGCATGAGGCCCTGGGTTCCAGCCCCAGCCCTGAAAATAAAATAGAATAAAATAAAATGTTTCATACAAAGTGGTAACACATAAGCAGAGCTCAGCTGATGGAAGTGATAGTCAACATTCCTTGAGCATTTACCATACAATGAATTCCCTGAACCTGTACAACCTCTGGCTCTGTTCTAATCATCCCAGTTCTCCAAGAGAGGAGACTGAGGCCTTGAATGAATCACACCAGAAGTAGAGAAGTTAGGACCTGAATATCCAAGAAATCCTAATCACTGCTATGGTGTTATTTATGTGACACAAGCAACAGCAGTACTATACTCTGCAAGTTCAACTCTAAAAAAGGTAGCAGGAAAGATCATAGAGCAACTATGTTGAAATAGAAAACATTTGAGCCTTAGACCTGTTAATATGCCTACAGAGATAAACAGCTCCACATTCAAATGACCCCCAGTAGACCACCTGTAGAGAGTGGGCCCCTATCAACCCGGCAAAGAGATCACAGCCTTCCTATAAACCCCCAATACTCTTGCAAAAGAGGCTGGAGACTCCTGCTCCCTGGCCAACCTTGGAACATCTGGCTTTTCAAAGCATTTAAAGGAGTTAGGGAAGGATAAGATCAAGTGAATCCGTATTATCCCTTCACTGCCACATTATCAAAAGAGTCCCCCCACAATCCAGACGACTTCAAGTTTCTTTCTTTTTCTTCTCATATTGCTTAGTACCTTTGATCTTTCTGAAATTATTCCTAAAATCTTCTCTCTTAACAAAGTATTTCAAACCAAACCATTTCAGCTTATATGTCCTCCCTCACTAAGATTATTGGGCATACTCATTTATTCTTGAACCACAAACTGGACTGAGGAGGAAGTTGTTCAGTACATGAGAATGAGAACATCAGGTAGGTTTCGCCATAATGCATGCTAATCAGGAAAAATGGAGCAGCATTCCCCAAATCAAGAGTAAGAGTCCTTTACTGTTTACACTGAACTTTCTTCCCAGGTTGTCTAGTTATAATCGGACAAATATTACATTCCTTCCATGTGTTTCTGAGAGGTGGTTATACATGAACACTGACAACAAAGAAGTTGAGAAACATATCTTACAGGTCAGTCTTTTGAGTCCTTGGGCAGCACAGTACAGGGCAGTAGGGTGCAAGGGGCAGGGGGTGTCTCTGTGTTTACCCAGGTGGGATGTGTGAGCCTCCAGAGGGAGCTGGTCCAGACCAGATATGCGGGCGAATGGTGGGAGAAGAGGTGAAGGACAATAGGAAATATGAGGTGGGAACTGGATTTGTTAGAACTCTGGAGCCTCCTATGAGGATTCATAGTTTTAAACTGAAACACAGAAAAATTCAGATTCTGTTTTGTAAACAAACCCAGAGAAAGGCAGTCAGGGGATCTTACTATAATTGCTGTAAATCCTCTCCTACTGTCAACTTCTTAGCTAAAGTTCTAGGCTGTGTGTTTTCTGATGACAAGATTCCTCTGCCTCGGGAAAAGAACTGTGAGTCTGTTGCTTTAGGAGTCATTTCATGTACTCAGCTGACGCAGCTCCCTGTGTCTTCGGGTCGTCCTCTCGTGTCCCATAGGGCCGAGAGGGGTGCTACCTCAGGGTGGCCTTTGTTGGAGCAACTCGACTTTGGGTGCCAATAGAAAATCTAGAACCATTTGTTCCCTACTGATTTTAGTAAGAATAAAGCCAGGCATTCTTATGAAAACAGTTATACATAATGACATTCACTCATTTTCCTACAAAGATGACCTCACCGGTAAGATTTGGTGAAATATCCAGCCCAGTTCCTGCTTGTGTGTATCACAACGCCCAAACTCTATCCTTTCACGGGGGCTCCATTAGAAGGGCCCATGGTGACTCCTCGCTTCTTTTAGCCCAAAGTTCTGTTGGTAGGGCTTTGGGGGCATCAGACCGGCTTGGTACCAAGCCACTTTGCAGAGGCCATGCTGAGCATCTGAGTCCATTCTGAAGCGATCTCTCAACCCAGCTCCAGCCTGACACCGGACACTCTTTTCTTGCGGTGCTGCCCCCCGCTCTGCAGTGCATTTATGCCTTGAGGGCTCCCTGGTGGCTTCCCCCCAGAGGCAGCTCCGGAGGGAGACTGCAAGGCATGATCCTGTCTGTTGC